TTTCAAAATATTATGACTTTTTCTCAAAATTAAGACTTTTTCAAAATATGACTTTCTTAAAATTATGACTTTTTCTAAAAATCATGACTTTTTCTAAATATTATGACTTTTTCTCAAAATTACGACTTTTTCAAAATATGACTTTCTTAAAATTATGACTTTCTAAAATCATGACTTTTTCTAAATATTATGACTTTTTCTCAAAATTACGACTTTTTCAAAATATGAATCTCAAAATTATGACTTTTTCTCAAATGACATGTATATAGACTTCTGGCACTATTTTACATTTGTATTTTATTATATTTGTTGCATTGTTGGAGGAGCTCAGGTCAGAAGAATGCCATTTCTACAAGCTGCTGAGCACATGATGATAACACCTTTGAAACCATGAGTCTCTGCCTCTGATACTCACTTTGAGCAGCTGCATGATGGAGGCGTTCTTGGGGTCGTTGGGGTCCAGGCGGGACTGAGTGGCCCACTCTCCAATCTTTTTCATGTCATACAGTCCAGAAGCACCGATATACGTGACGGCATCGAGTCGACCCAGACCACTGAAACACAAAGGAGAGGGAGTCACATTTGTTTATTGAGTGATATAGGGGTTACAAGACAAGTGCATACAGGTACAGTGTCACAGAAGACACTAAGGAGCATTTACAAGTAGAAGCAGTTTCTGATGGGTCGTTTGTTAAATAGGAAAGGCTTTCCTCATGTTTGATCACAAACACAACACATTGCTAAGGACTAGATCTGTACGCATATTGAACGTTTGAAGACGTTCTTCATCCTCTGGTTGCAGCTTACATCATGCAGCATCACAGTTAAAGATGGAGTCATTCGAACACGTCTCACTCACTTCTCTCTACCATCTCTCTCAGATGGTAGAGAGAAGGTGGGTTACCAGCAGCAGAGCCTCATCCTGAAAAAGTGCATCTATCTGGACCCTCAGCCTGAATGACTTGAATCAGTACTCTTGTGTATCTGATGCACGGATCGCCTGCTCATTCGAACACGTCTCACTCACTCGTTAATATTTGTGGATGTCGTTGTTTGTACTTGTAAAAACTGAAAAACTCAATAAAGATATTGTTTTTAAAAATAAAAGTACATTTGACTACAAAGTTCTGAATGAGGTTCAGAATCTGTCTCTGGAAAACCCATCCATACATTTCCCATGAAGTGACTGTTATTTTGTATTTATTGATTGTGGTGCTTTTATTGATGTCTTAATGTGTGCATGTATACATGTGTCTGTTGTGTGTATATAGGTATATACACATTTGTATATATATTTGTTTTTGTATTCTGGATTGAGGGAAACAGTATTTCGATCTCTCTGAACTCACAAAGTTTGACAGTAAAGTTGACTTTGAGCATTACCTGTGTTTGGCAGCAGGGTGCAGGGACAGCGGGGGGGCGAGGGCTGCTCCGTCCTCTCCGACCCCCCAGGAGACGCAGCAGGACAGTTTCCCCGAGGTCAGCAGCGTCTGCTTCTTACTGCCGTCAGCCTCGAAGGAGAGGGGGACGTCTGAGGAGAGACAGGAAGTGAGGAACACAGCATTTCCTCTGACGTTGGATCTTATAGAGAGGTGAGTGTAAAGATAAACTGCTCTCTGTCTGAGAATGAGCTGATCAGATTTTGGACACTTTATGATGTCATAACGATGTTTTGTCTTGTGTAACCATTAGCCAATCAGCAACCAAGGTATCCCCCCCCCCCCCCCCCCCCCTTATCACCTGAATCTCCTCCTAGAGCACCTTTGAGTTCTTTGTAACCAAATCTCTCTCAGAGGGGCGTGGGGAGGGGCTCCTTATTTTCATCTGAAGTAACAGACAGAGAATCAGCACTTTGGAAACAGGGCTGAAACAGAGGGGATTATGGGTAATGCTGCAATGATCTGTTTGGTGTTTCAGCCAATCAGAGACAGGCTCTGGATATATCTGAGACCTGTGATATATTGATGAAGAAGAGGATGATGATAGGGGACCTTTAAATAAAGTCACTAACCACTCCCTACGCCCTCGTGGTCGAACATGACTCTCTGGTTGCTGCTGAACTCAAACTCCTCCACAGGAACGCTGCTGCTCCCCACCGAGGGTTCAGGCACCGGGACAAACACCTGAGCCAGGAGGCAGCAGGAGGAGGAGGAGAAGCCCACCTCCTCAAACACCTGGGGAGGACACACAGCATGTATTCAATCAGAGGGAGGAGGAGGAGGAGGAGAGTCCTGCATTCAAAATGTTAATCAAGTAAAAGTAGAAGTACTCAGATCTTGTACTTGAGTAAAAGTAGAAGTACTCAGATCTTGTACTTGAGTAAAAGTAGAAGTACTCAGATCTTGTACTTGAGTAAAAGTAGAAGTACTCAGATCTTGTACTTGAGTAAAAGTAGAAGTACTCAGATCTTGTACTTGAGTAAAAGTAGAAGTACCAGAGTGTAGGAATACTCTGTTTCAGTAAAAGTCTTGTATTCAAAATGTTCCTCAAGTGAAAGTAGAAAAGTATTCTCATCAAAATATAGTGAAAGTAGCGACAGTAAAAGTAGTCATTGTGCAGATTGGTCCATTTCAGAATAATATATATGATATGTTTTATAATGATTGATCATGAAAGAGTTCTCAAAGCTGGTAAAGGTGCAGCTAGTTTGAATGACTTTGTATACTGCAGGGTAGCTTGTGGATTTACTCCAGGTGGAACTAAAGTCTGATTTAACACTTGATTATATTTCACATCATTCATCCACATCTGTGAAGTAACTAAAGGTATTAAATACATGTAGTGGAGTAGAAGTACACCATGTACCTCTGGACTGTAGAGGAGTAGAAGTACACAGTAGCATCAAATACCTAAGTAAAGTGAAGTACCTCTAAATAGTACTTAAGTTCAGTAACCACGTGAAGCGGCCCCTCTACCTGCAGGTTGAGGCTCTGCGGACAGTTGACTATCTTCAGGTTGAAGATCTGTCCGAAGTGGACTCTGAAGTCTCCGTTGAGGGAGCGGCTGTCGGTTCTGGAGACTTCTTTGTTGTTGTAGAGGATCTTTATGAAGAGAGAGCGCTTTGCCACGTCCTCCCTGCGAGACACTTCAGCCCTGAGGAAACACAGCAGGAAGACGGTGTGTTTCATCATCGCAGGTATTATTGGAAACTCAAAGTGATGCTAGAACCATTGGGAAGACGGCAGTGGAGACAATGTGGACAGTTGAATCCCAGTCACTCTCATATCTTCTGGTCATGTGTAAAGGACTTTGGGGTCAGGGTTACTCAGACTCAGAAGTATGAAGCCATAAGACTCCCTGTGACCCCGGGGTGATGGACCTGGGCTTCAGGGTAGTATGACTGGAAAGGAGGACCTCGACCTCTTTAAAGTCTTGATACTCGCGGGTAAAAAGCCCATCACACGGAACTGGTTAAAAAGTGACCCTCCTGGACATTGTTGAAGAAATATTCACTATGGAAAGACTGACCTCCTGTCTAAGGACTACAGCAGAGATCTGTGAACAACGCTGGGACAAATGGACAGTGGACAAGTTCAGTGTACCTCTCACAGAGTTCTTATCAACGAGGTGTTCAGTGTACCTCTCACAGACTTCTTATCAACGAGGTGTTCAGTGTACCTCTCACAGACTTCTTATCAACGAGGTGTTCAGTGAACCTCTCACAGACTTCTTATCTTATCAACGAGGTGTTCAGTGTACCTCTCACAGACTTCTTATCAACGAGGTGTTCAGTGAACCTCTCACAGACTTCTTATCAACGAGGTGTTCAGTGTACCTCTCAGACTTCTTATCAACGAGGTGTTCAGTGTACCTCTCACAGACTTCTTATCAACGAGGTGTTCAGTGAACCTCTCACAGACTTCTTATCAACGAGGTGTTCAGTGAACCTCTCACAGACTTCTTATCTTATCAACGAGGTGTTCAGTGTACCTCTCGCAGATTTCTTATCTTATCAACGAGGTGTTCAGTGAACCTCTCACAGACTTCTTATCTTATCAACGAGGTGTTCAGTGTACCTCTCGCAGATTTCTTATCTTATCAACGAGGTGTTCAGTGAACCTCTCACAGACTTCTTATCAACGAGGTGTTCAGTGTACCTCTCACAGACTTCTTATCAACGAGGTGTTCAGTGAACCTCTCACAGACTTCTTATCTTATCAACGAGGCGTTCAGTGTACCTCTCACAGACTTCTTATCTTATCAACGAGGTGTTCAGTGTACCTCTCACAGACTTCTGATCTTATCAACGAGGTGTTCAGTGAACCTCTCACAGACTTCTTATCAACGAGGTGTTCAGTGTACCTCTCACAGACTTCTTATCAATGAGGTGTTCAGTGTACCTCTCACAGACTTCTTATCAACGAGGTGTTCAGTGAACCTCTCACAGACTTCTTATCAACGAGGTGTTCAGTGTACCTCTCACAGACTTCTGATCTTATCAACGAGGCGTTCAGTGTACCTCTCACAGACTTCTTATCTTATCAACGAGGTGTTCAGTGAACCTCTCACAGACTTCTTATCAACGAGGTGTTCAGTGTACCTCTCACAGACTTCTTATCAACGAGGTGTTCAGTGTACCTCTCACAGACTTCTTATCAACGAGGTGTTCAGTGTACCTCTCACAGACTTCTTATCAACGAGGCGTTCAGTGTACCTCTCACAGACTTCTTATCTTATCAACGAGGTGTTCAGTGTACCTCTCACAGACTTCTTATCAACGAGGTGTTCAGTGTACCTCTCACAGACTTCTTATCAACGAGGTGTTCAGTGTACCTCTCACAGACTTCTTATCAACGAGGTGTTCAGTGTACCTCTTGCAGACTTCGCTGGCCGTGATGTTTCCGGACGCCGACAGCTCTGGGATCAGGACCGGTTCTCCAGGTTTCCTGCGGATCCTGGAGGCTTTCTCTCTGACCAGCTGCTCTATGGAGACAACGTCTGGTTTCTCTGGAGGCTCCGGTTTGGGGGGCCCTTCCTCAGCAGGCCCCTCTGATTCGCTCACCTCCACGTCTTCATCTTCCTCTTCTGTTTCATCCTGCGTCTGGTCTTTCTTCTTCTTCTTCCTCCTCTTCTTCTTGGCTTTCTGAACAGTCACCAGAGGAGATGATTTGATCAGGTTTAGATTGTACAGTCAAATCATCAGGTTAGAGAGAAATCAAAGGAATTGATTGATCAAATGATAGTTATTTTGGAGACCGAGATGACGTGTTTAAAAACGTCCTGATATCTTCTCATGAGCAGAAACTGTTCAACTGAAATGATCCCTGAAAACTGATCACATGTGAGGAATAAAACCCTCAGGTGATTTAACAAGATATAACATTAATATAGTTATATTATATTCCTAACGTCTTAACTAAATGTCTCCAAAGGCCACAGTGAGTGAAACGTGAAACTGCTCAGTGTTCAGAGGGTAGAAAGAGAAATGCATAACAATGGAAGAAATAGAATATGATAAATAAGGTATCTGTGTTAAGTCTGTCTTATTTTGTCATGCATTTATAAGATAAGATGTATCTTGATCTAAAAAAAATTCTTATCTTATAAATGCATCTTTACAGTTGTATAGATGTGTGTGCAAGTACGTATTGTATGTATGTATATTATGTGTCAGGGAATCATTTGCCCTAGTGTCCTCTTTCACCCTCTGACACAGATGCTCTATCTGTGCAGTACCCAGGCCCCTCTATCTGTGCAGTACCCAGGCCCCTCTATCTGTGCAGTACCCAGGCCCCTCTATCTGTGCAGTACCCAGGCCCCTCTATCTGTGCAGTAGCCAGGCCCCTCTATCTGTGCAGTACCCAGGCCCCTCTATCTGTGCAGTACCCAGGCCCCTCTATCTGTGCAGTACCCAGGCCCCTCTATCTGTGCAGTACCCAGGCCCCTCTATCTGTGCAGTACCCAGGCCCCTCTATCTGTGCAGTACCCAGGCCCCTCTATCTGTGCAGTACCCAGGCCCCTCTATCTGTGCAGTAAGCAGGCCCCTCTATCTGTGCAGTAAGCAGGCCCCTCTATCTGTGCAGTACCCAGGCCCCTCTATCTGTGCAGTACCCAGGCCCCTCTATCTGTGCAGTAAGCAGGCCCCTCTATCCGTGCAGTAAGCAGGCCCCTCTATCTGTGCAGTAGCCAGGCCCCTCTATCTGTGCAGTAGCCAGGCCCCTCTATCTGTGCAGTAGCCAGGCCCCTCTATCTGTGCAGTACCCAGGCCCCTCTATCTGTGCAGTAGCCAGGCCCCTCTATCTGTGCAGTACCCAGGCCCCTCTATCTGTGCAGTACCCAGGCCCCTCTATCTGTGCAGTACCCAGGCCCCTCTATCTGTGCAGTAAGCAGGCCCCTCTATCTGTGCAGTACCCAGGCCCCTCTATCTGTGCAGTAAGCAGGCCCCTCTATCTGTGCAGTACCCAGGCCCCTCTATCTGTGCAGTACCCAGGCCCCTCTATCTGTGCAGTAAGCAGGCCCCTCTATCTGTGCAGTAAGCAGGCCCCTCTATCTGTGCAGTAGCCAGGCCCCTCTATCTGTGCAGTAGCCAGGCCCCTCTATCTGTGCAGTAGCCAGGCCCCTCTATCTGTGCAGTACCCAGGCCCCTCTATCTGTGCAGTACCCAGGCCCCTCTATCTGTGCAGTACCCAGGCCCCTCTATCTGTGCAGTAAGCAGGCCCCTCTATCTGTGCAGTACCCAGGCCCCTCTATCTGTGCAGTACCCAGGCCCCTCTATCTGTGCAGTAAGCAGGCCCCTCTATCTGTGCAGTAGCCAGGCCCCTCTATCTGTGCAGTAGCCAGGCCCCTCTATCTGTGCAGTAGCCAGGCCCCTCTATCTGTGCAGTAGCCAGGCCCCTCTATCTGTGCAGTACCCAGGCCCCTCTATCTGTGCAGTACCCAGGCCCCTCTATCTGTGCAGTACCCAGGCCCCTCTATCTGTGCAGTAAGCAGGCCCCTCTATCTGTGCAGTACCCAGGCCCCTCTATCTGTGCAGTACCCAGGCCCCTCTATCTGTGCAGTAAGCAGGCCCCTCTATCTGTGCAGTAGCCAGGCCCCTCTATCTGTGCAGTAAGCAGGCCCCTCTATCTGTGCAGTAAGCAGGCCCCTCTATCTGTGCAGTAGCCAGGCCCCTCTATCTGTGCAGTACCCAGGCCCCTCTATCTGTGCAGTAAGCAGGCCCCTCTATCTGTGCAGTAAGCAGGCCCCTCTATCTGAGCAGTAAGCAGGCCCCTCTATCTGTCCAGTAAGCAGGCCCCTCTATCTGTGCAGTAAGCAGGCCCCTCTATCTGTGCAGTACCCAGGCCCCTCTATCCGTGCAGTAAGCAGGCCCCTCTATCTGTGCAGTACCCAGGCCCCTCTATCTGTGCAGTACCCAGGCCCCTCTATCTGTGCAGTACCCAGGCCCCTCTATCTGTGCAGTAACCAGGCCCCTCTATCTGTGCAGTAAGCAGGCCCCTCTATCTGTGCAGTACCCAGGCCCCTCTATCTGTGCAGTACCCAGGGCCCTCTATCTGTGCAGTAGCCAGGCCCCTCTATCTGTGCAGTACCCAGGCCCCTCTATCTGTGCAGTAACCAGGCCCCTCTATCTGTGCAGTACCCAGGGCCCTCTATCTGTGCAGTAGCCAGGCCCCTCTATCTGTGCAGTACCCAGGCCCCTCTATCTGTGCAGTACCCAGGCCCCTCTATCTGTGCAGTAGCCAGGCCCCTCTATCTGTGCAGTACCCAGGCCCCTCTATCTGTGCAGTACCCAGGCCCCTCTATCTGTGCAGTAGCCAGGCCCCTCTATCTGTGCAGTAAGCAGGCCCCTCTATCTGTGCAGTACCCAGGCCCCTCTATCTGTGCAGTACCCAGGCTGTCTGTCTCTCTGTACCTGCTTCCTCCTCCAGATCTTCCACTCCTCCAGATGCTTCTTGTACTCGGCCAGCTTCCTCTGGTAATCCTCCTCCATCTCCGCCTCCAGCTCCACCAGCTCAGCCAGGATCTCTCCCTCACACTGATGCTCGTCTGAGGCCCGGTCCACGCTCTCCCTGGGTTCAAAACACACAGCATGATGTCATTACCAATCTGTGCAGTAACACCATATCAGCATGTTCAGGAACTAGTTGATGCTCTGTATGTGATGACTACTTCCATTCTGGAGAGGATCACAAATACATGGATCCTGAGATTGAAGCTCAAGCCGGGGACCAGGGATTATTAACATCTTTAAGTATTCAGAAAAAGACAGAATTTTGAGAAAGTCATATTTTTTATATTTTTTTGAAAAAGTCATATTTTTGATATTTTTGAGAAAAGTCAGAATTTTGTGAAAAAGTCATATTTTTTAGATTTTTTAGAAAAAGTCATATTTTTTTGAAAAAGTCATATTTTTTAGATTTTTGAGAAAAGTCAGAATTTTGTGAAAAAGTCAGAATTTAGAGATTTTTTAGAAAAAGTCAGAATTTAGAGATGTTGTGAAAAAGCCAGAATTTTGAGATTTTTTTTGAAAAAGTCATATTTTTGAGATTTTTGAGAAAAGTCAGAATTTTGTGAAAAAGTCAGAATTTAGAGATTTTTAGAAAAAGTCAGAATTTTGAGATGTTGAGAAAAAGTCAACACCATAATAGAGGTCTTGTGTCATTTGGAATGTAATACTGTATTGTACTGATCTTTGTATCTTATGTGTAAGGACTTTCACAAGATACAGGGATGACATTGTTGAATCATAACTGGGTGTTTACGGTTTATTTATTAATTTGTTATTTTATCTTTTCTTGATTACCATTCACCTCTTGTATTTATTTAGTTATTTATTTTTCTTATGTTTTGTTTTTTGAATAACAAATGTATTTTGGATAGTGGATGTAAAGAGTCTTTTATATTTGTCTTATCAAATATGACATACACCGTAAAATAATAATAAATTATATATATTGTAGAAATAATGATATAATCTATTTATAATTGTAAATGTATATTGTATGTAGAGATACATTTAGATGCACATTTTGTCAAAAGAAAAAAGTTAATAATGTAGTTTTGGGAGAAGGGGTTAAATAAATGTAAACCTCTCCCCCCCCCCCCCCTTTTCAGATGTGTAAGTAGATCATTTTTTGTTTATCAATTTGATACTGCTTGAGTTTGTACTGCATCATAATTCTCTTTCGTTTCGTTTCATTATTATTATTATTATTATTATTATTATTTGTATTATTGTTTTACACGTTCGAAATAAATCAAATCAAATGACGTGTCCTTAAAACCAATAAAAATACCTTCATAAAAAACCCAGCACATGAAAGAAGCTCTAAAGAACATGACAGTGAGAGTCTCAATCCTCTGATGGAGCTGTACCTCCTGAGGGAGAGTTTGTACGGCGTGTTGGTGAACTTCTGGAAGTCTCTGAGGGTCTTCAGCTCCTTCCAGACCCGGACGATGTTCCTCAGCAGAACCCGGTCCTTCTCCTGCTCGCCGTCCCGCAGCTGCCTGGTGCTCCTGTTGGAATCAGGGGGTCAGGAGAGTCCTTTATATTTACAGTGAGGTGCAGGAATGAGTCCTAAAACCCAAAAGTGAGTCAGCATGTCACCACTTCCTGTTCCCTGGTCTCAGAGCCAATGGGATTTTTGAACTAGTTTTTGAAAAATATCTGTAAATAAGGTCTGTGGTTGAGACACATTGAAGAGACGGATCACGTTTTGTTCTAGGACATTAAATCCATCAGCAGTGACCCCACTGGTGATTTCTGAAGAGTTGACGTGTCTGAGAAACGATGGTTGTTACCAAGTGGCTGAATAGGACTACAGAAGTCGTGGAGGACGTTGTACGTCATTACGCCGAACACGTGAACACTCCTCTAAGTTAGTTAGCCCTGTTCAGCTTGAAAGCAAGTACCTGCCTCCTGCTAACTGTTCAAACAAACGCTTCAACTTGTTCCATTTAGAATCTGTGTGTTTGAATATGGATCTGAAGTTGGCGTGACGTTGAAGTCGTGCTGCTGGACTTGGCTGTAGTTCCTTTATAGCAGGGCCGGTTTTTTCGCCTAGGGCATCAAGAACCGGCCCTGCTTTATAGCATAACGTTAGCATTTAGCTTCTGGACATTAGATTTATGATTAGAACATTATAATGTAGGGTAGACACGTGGAGATTACCCGGCTGAACAACAACGACTCTATAGCACCCTTTAAGAGTATTTATTTATTTATACTATATATACTATTTTGTATGTTCTTTCCCACTATGACTATGTTGGTCATTAAGTATGGTATTCCTGTCATGCTATGTGTTTTCTTGTTGGCTGTTCTGTTTGTCTTCTTTGTTGAAAAAGAGAAGCGTGGTTTCCACCCAAAGAACTCTGAACTATTGCTCACACTTCTATTTGAAACCGTGTCATTGAGGTGTTCAAATGAAGCTCTGGAGGTCAGACTGTACGACTGCATCACTGAAGCTGCAGAGGTTACTGGATGGAAATGATCTCCTCTTTGGATAAGGGAGGTTCTGGCTCAGTGGGATAGTGCGTTGATGGATCAGGGAGCGCCGGTTCAATCCCACTGCAGTCAGCATGTGTATATATCTCTGAATAACACTGGACTCTGAGCAACTGGGACGGACATGTTCACTATTTGATAAACCATTAATGTAGAAAATAATCTGCAGATTAATCTGAAATGAAAATAATAGTTAGTTGACACTTAGTTTTTACCCTAAAGGAGAAGATAACTATTTGTTGATAGTGATTGTATGAATGTAGTTGGCCGTGCTGTTGGTGATACAGGTCTGCGCCCCCCCTTCATCGTCAGCAAAGTGAACATGTTGAGGTACCTTGGTTTCATTTGACTTTTAAAAGAGGAGCCACCCAGCACTCAAAGTTATAAATGAACCTCTAGAGCCCCTCGACAGCATGGAGCATCATGGAGCAGATATATTCCTCAGCTCTAGGGCAAGCTCCTCACCTGACCTCCAGACTGTACTCAGAGATCCGCCGCTGCATGGCCGGAGTCAGACTCTCTCCTCCGTGGACCTCCAGAATATTCCTCAGAGCGTTCCTGAGTCCGTTCAGCTGCAACACACAAGAAAGTCAGAATTTTGAGATTTTTGGAAAGTCAGAATTTTCAGAAAAAAGGCAACATTTCAGAAAAGCGCCAACATTTTGTGAAAAAGTCAGAATTTTGAGATTTTTGGAAAGTCAGAGTTTTGTGAAAAAGTCAGAATTTTTAGATTTTCAGAAAAAGTCAGAATTTTCAGAAAAAGTCAGAATTTTCAGAAAAAGTCAGAATTTTCAGAAAAAAGCCAGAATTTTGTGAAAAAGTCAGAATTTTGTGAAAAAGTCAGAATGTTGTGAAAAAGTCAGGATTTTTGTGAAAAAGTCAGAATTTTGTGAAAAAGTCAGAATTTTGTGAAAAAGTCAGAATTTTGTGAAAAAGTCAGAATTTTTTGATTTTCAGAAAAAAACCAACATTTTGAGAAAAAAGTCACTATTTTGTTCACGACAGGATGTATGATTACGTAGAAGGACCAGTATTCCTCCATCTTGTGACTGTGTAACTCCCTCTCTTGGATATCAGCATGTGAAGGACACTGTTCAGGAACTAGTTGATGCTCTGTATGTGATGACTCCTTCCATTCTTGAGAGGATCATAAATACATGGATCCTGATGTTGAAGCTCAAGCCGGGGACCAGTGAGAGTTTTCTAACACCCACCACGTGTCTCGGCTCAGAGAGGCTCACCTTGTCAGTGAGGTGTGCAGAGAGGTTGTTGCGCTGCCTGCTCAGGTACTGGTCGTACAGCTGAGCCAGGCGGGAACCCAGCACATGTTCCCGGCTGAAGAGGGGGTGGTGGGAGAAGATGAGCCCGGAAACATCCACATCCAGCTGGTAGTCGCCCTCAGGGTCCGCGGCCCCCGACAGGTACAGAGTCGCATACTTAGACTTCAGCGGCTGGGGGAGAGAACAACAACACCCATCATCTTGTATCTGCTGGTTCCATAGCCTTACACTGAAAGACAGGAACAGCCTGAACAATACCCAATCATTTCATCTGTTGCCATCAAGGTGTATATGCTCTGCTCTTAAGACAAATGGCCTTCAAAATCATTCATGCCATGAGAATACTCGAGGGGGGTAGTGCACGCTCAAAGGAAGCACGAGATACCATTACACCAGATTTGATTCACATTTTATTTTTCAGGTTTTATTGTCATATGCACACCAGCTACAGTGTAGAGATGGCAATGACATTCTTCTGACCTGAGCTCCTCCAACAATGCAACATATATATATGTGTGTGTGTGCGTGTATGTGTATGTGTATGTGTATGTGTGTGTGTGTGTGTGTGTGTGTGTCTCACCTTCCTGTACACAGTGTGCAGAGCAGGGTCCAGGTCCTCCTCCATGTGGAAGAGGGGGGGTCTGGTGGAGGACTCCTTGATGGGGTTAGGCAGAGCCACAATCCTGCCGTCGTCTCCGAACCACTTTTTACCCTGGAGAAACATTTGAAAAACACAAAGACGTATTTATTCCTCCGTAGAGCTTCTCTCTTCCCCTCCTCTCTTCTCTCTGCTATGGACACTCTGCACTAATGCACACTTTTCACAGTTTTTGAAGTGACTGTTATTTTGTATTTATTGATTGTTGTGCTTTTATGAATGTCTTAATGTGTGCATATTTATAAATGTGTCTGTTGATTGTGTATATATAGGATGTATACATATTTCTATACATACTTTTATATATAGTGGGATTGTGGGAAACAGTATTTGGATCTCTCTGTACACACAAACTGAAAGATTGACAGTAAAGTTTCTTTGGCTACAGAGTCAGTGGTTCTCACCTCCTCCATTTGCAGGATCCTGTTCTCCAGAATGTTCTCGTTGCTCAGAGACACAGGCGGTCTCTCCCCCACGTACAGACCCTCGTCCTCCACGTACCGAGGCTTCATGTTGTCGGGGAGTTTGATGTGGGCCGCCACTGAAAAACACAAACACAACATCAAAGCGAGACATTAAGCTTTGAGACTTTGAGACGCTTCTTGAGGAAAGGAAATCTTCAAAACCTACATCAAGGAATGTATTTCACGAGCTAACTAACCGTTGCCTCATTAATGTAGAAATAGGTATACTTTGAATCAGGGAAAGGGCTACAAACATCAATGTTAGAGCCAGTATTGAGCTTTTATAAGAAAGGCCACCTAATCGTGACGTCTGTAGTCAACAGAGTATAAAAGACTACAACTCCCACGGTGCCTCCTCTAGAATAAAGATGTGAAACCTGTCAGAAAGACATCGCCGATGCTCAGTTTGAAACCGTTAAGATACCCTTTAAGTTACCAAGTTATACAAGCCATAACATAGAAAGAAAGCAAGAAAGAATACCTAAGTTGTTTGTTATTTTATTTTGAGCATTGCACAATATCATCCAAACCACAAGCAACTCTTCAAACTGTGAGTAACACAAAGATAAAGGAAAGGAAACGAGTTAGAAATGTCTGTTTTGAAGGCGTCTAGTGGCTTGATGGAAAATAAGGAAGGAAGCCAGGACAATCAATATTGAAGTGTTAGTGATGAATCCCAGCTCGACACACTGAGATGAGCTGGAGGCCAGTTTGTTAGCTGAATTAAAACATGTGTCTTTCAATATACAGAAGAGTTAACGGTTAGTAAAGCAACCAAATTCATTTCCCCCGGACAAAGAACTTCTGAAATCCAGGAGTTTATTTCATTATCTCTGTCTGCAGATTTCTCCTGAACTCCAACAACAGTTATTATCACGTAATGCCTAATTTGCATATTTAAACATTACCCGTCAGAAAACTTGTAATATAAAAGATAATTGTGTTAATGTCAGTAATGAAGGTGGGAAGTTTCATGGTGATATCTGTGTGTTAAATAGTTTGCAGAGTGTTCAACAGGTGTGAGTTTTACCATCCGGATCTTTAAAGGCCGTTCTATTTCGTCCCTACTGACCGCCAGAGGCGGTGCTTTAAGCACTGGATATGTCCATCATGCGCATGCGCAGGTCGAATACCAATACCAACAAAGTCACCTGTGACCCCACGTGACACCGGCTATATCTGCCGGTGTCGTCGTCAAGGGCGTATATTGATGCTACTGCCTGTATACGGCAGTCGGAGCAGCTCTTCGTTTGCCATGGCGGCACTAAAAGAGGTTGGTCCCTCTAAACAGCGGCTGCCCCACTGGGTTGTCGATACCATCTCACATGCCTATGGGGCCAGTGGCCGCCCCCTGCCATCAGGGCTGAGATGCCACTCTACAAGGAGCATCTCAACATCTTGGGCTGCCCTGAGAGGGGTGCCCCTGGAGACCATCTGCGCCGCGGCGTCATGGGCGTCTTCTGGCACGTTCTCCAGGTTCTATCGGGTCAATGTCGCCACTCCCCATCCTTTGGGCGTTGTCCTTTTGCCGAGCTCCACTGCTTCCAGCAGTGAGCAAGGGCTTGGATTCTTCATGACATGGTTGCTATAAGTCATCCAGTGCTTAAGCACCGCCTCTGGCGGTCAGTAGGGCAGTGGTTCCCAACCGGTGTGCCGCGAGCTCTGTCCAGGTGTGCCGTAGGATCTTTTTACGTTCCACTTTTTTTTCTCACTTATTAAACTTCACTTCATATAAACTTTATTTGATTACATGTACAATGGAGCTGATAAGCTAATAAAACATATATATTGCTCAGATTTAGAAATATTAAATACCGACTGCTTAAATTCTCATGACTTACATCAGCCGTCATTGTTTACGGCGTGCAGAGCAGCTTTTTATCCTCGCGCCAAAATATTCCAAGAGTAATGAGAGTGAGAGTGCTGGAGGAGAGGTTTGAGTCATATTTCCCTCCTATGAATGAAGACTTCGATTGGCTGCGGGATCCGTTTAATCCTCATTAATATCAGCCACTAGTTTAAACAGCAGAGCTCAGGATGAACTCGCAGAGCTATGGACCGCTCCCTGAGACTGAAGCACGGTGAACTACTTCTGGATATCTTTTGGCTGCTTGTGGGACACGAGTATCCATCCCTCTCAGAGAGTGCTATCAACGTGCTTTTACCGTTTCCAACCTACTTGTGCGAGCTGGCGGTTTCCTCACTCGCATTATGTCAAAAACAAGACCCGCCCCCGGCTGTCAGTGGAGCAGGACCTCCGCGTTGCGCTGTCCACTATCCCCCCACGCATCAAGAGACTCTGCTCCCAAAAGCAGGCACGTGTCGCACTAACATGTGCCTATCATAGTTTTAGTTTAGTTTTGCTGTTTAAACTGATTAGTCTGTTATAATTATTATGAAGTTATTATTCATTTTACGTTATCATAGGCCTACCTCTTTTGAAATCCAAATGTAAAATAATAACTCAGAGTCTGGTTCTTGTCATTATATGATGGATTATATGGTTTTTAGGACGACTTATATTTGATTATTTGTTCTATAAAATGTTCTATTAAATTAAATACACATTTGAAAACCAATTTATGGTGTATTTATTGTTTGTAGTTTAAGCTCTGAAGTGGTTTTTAAATCTACGAGAAGTTGGTGTGCCTTGGGGTCGAGAAATATTTTCAGGTGTGCCTTGGTAAAAAAAAGGTTGGGAACCACTGCAGTAGGGACCAACTAGAACCATAGGTACGTCTGGAACTACGGTTCTATGAGTCCCGGATGACCGCCAGAGTATCCTGTCACTCAGAACTCTTGTGTGCTCGCGAGAAGATTCTGGGAACAGATCCTCTGACGACACCGGCAGATATAGCCGGGGTCACGTGGGGTCACAGGTGGCTTTGTTGGTATTGGTACTCGAGCTGCGCACGATGGACATATCCAGTGCTTAAAGCACTCGGGACTCATAGAACCGGAGTTACAGACGTAACTATCGTTTCCTCTCCTCCTCTCTCACACACAAACACACACCAAACTGTACACACTCATTCCTCTGCATATTCTGAAGCTCTTACACACAGCACACACTCATTTATACACACATCACTAAAAGCATGCAGAAGATCTCTTTCTGTATGTCCTGATGTATGGAGGGAGAGAACAAGTTAGAAACCTCTGACTCCTCAGGACTCTGAAGCTGGAGTTAAGCTGACGGAAACGTGTGCACACATTTGGTGTTTGTACACGTTAAAGGTCACCTGAGGTGAAGCTGGGCGTGAAGAGGACCTTGCTCTCTTGCGCGACTCGTTGTCCGTAGCGGAGATACTCGGCTCCCTTCGTCTCCAGGAAGTCCTGAGTGGATTGTTCAATGACGAATAAATCTCCGTCTCTCACCAGAGGAGCGTCTTCATTCTGAGGAGAACACGAGGAGTGTAGAGGAGGTGGAGATAATCAGGACTCACACTTCATTAGAATAATAATAAAGCTTTATTTACACAGCACTCTTCATACAGCACGCGCAGCTCAACGCGCTTTACTACATGACACGTCACACCTAGAAACAAACAACAACAAGTTCCCCTCAGATCATTTACAGAGAACTTTGAAAGAAAGAAAATGGTCTGTTTCTAACCTGGTCTTCATTCCCCTCCGGATCTCCCTCCTCTCCCTCCTGCTCCTCTTCCTCCTGCTCCTCTTCCTCCTGCTCTTCAGATGCTCTTGGTTTTTCTTTGTTCCCGTCTCGTGGGTCTGGCTCGAATGTGAGTGTGAAGAAGTTGTACGCCTCCTCAGCGGTGGGTAGTCCGTTCTCTGTCTGGAGGCAGGAGTTTGGGAAAGAAACGTAAAGGACTTGCAGTTTTGGGACGAAGGGAAAAGTTATTATTTAGTGTTTCTAACTATTGAGTAAAACAGAAGGAGTCTTTGATTTAGTTTAGCGTTACTTCTCTACTGTCATCTTTGATTCCACTGAAAAAAATAATACTGTTCAAGTCGTACGACGAGTCAGACGCTGAGTAGGGAAACAGACACAATTTCTGGCCAGTGTTTTTTTTTAAAAGCATAATCTGTAAACAAGAGAGAACTTAAAGCTGGGGTAGGTAAGATGGAGAAACCAGCTCGAGTGGCTAGAGTTTGAAAATACACAGCCGGAAAGAATCTGCCACTTCCTCACAGAGCCCCTCCTCCAACACACACGGACGCGCACATGACCAATGAGGGCACGAGATAAGTTTGTGCACAGATGGAAGGCTGACAGGCAGGTAGGCCATCCAGTTACTTTAGCCGGGCCGGCTCAGATGATTGGTCGTGCTGTTTACAGTACCACGGCTTCCACAGATGATATTTTAATGTATTTTTTGTCAAAGCATTTCAGATATTCATTGCTATCGGGATGTTAAGAGCATTCCATGGAATATAACAAAAAGTGTTTCTGAAATAAATTACATACCCCACCTTTAAGTTAAAATGTCTTATATGTACTTGATTGTTGTTGTTTTAACTCTTATTTCTCACTACCTTCAGTGAATTAAACTAGGCTCCTCCCCCGCTGAGCTCTGCTGTGACTTCCTGAGTAGAGTTTTCTAGAGTTCATCTTTTAGAGCAGCTTCCCCCAAACACAGATACCTGGTTTTTAAAGAGTTCACATCAGCCTTACTCGTCTGGAAGCTTCTCTGAACTTCACCCTGGAGCTGAGAGCCAGAGGGTCGTCGGGCCTCTCAGATCCATCAGGATCCACCTGGAACACAAGCAGAGTTACCCCCTCTAATCTGGGTATAATCTCTGTGAGGACCCCCCTCTGTGAGGACCCCCATCTGTGAGCACCCCCCCCCCCCCCCCCCCCCCCCCTCTGTGAGGACCCCCCTCTGCTCCTTACCTCCCTGTCGAACCTGGTCCTGGTGTCTCTGTCTCTGAGGGTCTGCAGGCGGCTGAGCTCCACAGAGGCCTCGCTCTCCTGGAGGCTCTCCCCTCTGGACTGGAACACATTAAAGGGACCTGGTGTTTAGACATGTGTCCCCTCTGTGGAGAGAGACATCAACATGTGTCCCCTCTTCTTCATGTCTCTTCTACATCAACATGTGTCCCCTCTTCTTCATGTCTCTTCTACATCAACATGTGTCCCCTCTTCCTCATGTCTCTTCTACATCAACATGTGTCCCCTCTTCTTCATGTCTCTTCTACATCAACATGTGTCCCCTCTTCTTCATGTCTCTTCTACATCAACATGTGTCCCCTCTTCTTCATGTCTCTTCTACATCAACATGTGTCCCCTCTTCTTCATGTCTCTTCTACATCAACATGTGTCCCCTCTTCTTCATGTCTCTTCTACATCAACATGTGTACCCTCTTCTTCATGTCTCTTCTACATCAACATGTGTCCCCTCTTCTTCATGTCTCTTCTACATCAACATGTGTCCCCTCTTCATCATGTCTCTTCTACATCAACATGTGTCCCCTCTTCTTCATGTCTCTTCTTCATCAACATGTGTCCCCTCTTCTTCATGTCTCTTCTACATCAACATGTGTCCCCTCTTCTTCATGTCTCTTCTACATCAACATGTGTCCCCTCTTCATCATGTCTCTTCTACATCAACATGTGTCCCCTCTTCTTCATGTCTCTTCTTCATCAACATGTGTCCCCTCTTCTTCATGTCTCTTCTTCATCAACATGTGTCCCCTCTTCTTCATGTCTCTTCTACATCAACATGTGTCCCCTCTTCTTCATGTCTCTTCTACATCAACATGTGTCCCCTCTTCTTCATGTCTCTTCTACATCAACATGTGTCCCCTCTTCTTCATGTCTCTTCTACATCAACATGTGTCCCCTCTTCTTCATGTCTCTTCTTCATCAACATGTGTCCCCTCTTCTTCATGTCTCTTCTACATCAACATGTGTCCCCTCTTCTTCATGTCTCTTCTTCATCAACATGTGTCCCCTCTTCTTCATGTCTCTTCTTCATCAACATGTGTCCCCTCTTCTTCATGTCTCTTCTACATCAACATGTGTCCCCTCTTCTTCATGTCTCTTCTACATCAACATGTGTCCCCTCTTCTTCATGTCTCTTCTACATCAACATGTGTCCCCTCTTCTTCATGTCTCTTCTACATCAACATGTGTCCCCTCTTCTTCATGTCTCTTCTACATCAACATGTGTCCCCTCTTCTTCATGTCTCTTCTACATCAACATGTGTCGTCTCTTCTTCATGTCTCTTCTACATCAACATGTGTCGTCTCTTCTTCATGTCTCTTCTACAGTGTCCCCTCTTCTATAAATGATTTGCCATCCAGTTGGGTATTTTATTGTCTGGGTGTTTTGGAAAAGGCAGCCTATTGGTGAGAAATGGATGCTATATTAGCATGTTGTGTTAGCATGTTGTGTTGGCATGTAGTGTTGGCATGTTGTGTTGGCATGTAGTGTTGGCATGTAGTGTTGGCATGTAGTGTTGGCATGTAGTGTTGGCATGTTGCGTTAGCATGTTGCATTAGCATGTTGTATTAGCATGTTGTATTAGCATGTTGTGTTAGCATGTTGTATTAGCATGTAGTGTTAGCATGTTGTATTAGCATGTAGTGTTAGCATGTTGTGTTAGCATGTTGTATTAGCATGTTGTATTAGCATGTTGTGTTAGCATGTTGTGTTAGCATGTTGTGTTAGCATGTTGTATTAGCATGTTGTATTAGCATGTAGTGTTAGCATGTTGTATTAGCATGTTGTATTAGCATGTTGTGTTAGCATGTAGTGTTAGCATGTAGTATTAGCATGTTGTATTAGCATGTTGTATTAGCATGTTGTATTAGCATGTAGTGTTAGCATGTTGTATTAGCATGTTGTATTAGCATGTTGTGTTAGCATGTTGTGTTAGCATGTTGTATTAGCATGTTGTATTAGCATGTTGTGTTAGCATGTTGTATTAGCATGTAGTGTTAGCATGTTGTATTAGCATGTAGTGTTAGCATGTAGTGTTAGCATGTAGTGTTCATGTACCCTGGCTGCTCTGAGCTTCTCCTGCAGGCGCCGCGTCACAGAGCTTTCCAGCAGCTGAGAGCCTGCAGTCTGCTGCGCTCTAGAGGAGACACCTGGACACAAGAACATACGTATCACTCCGTTAGTATTGCTGCTGATCTCATTCACACTGTTGGCACGTTTCCCTGTGTTGCCATGGCTCAGATGTTTGAGTCATTTTGTTAAAGGAGAGTACTCTTTCTGTACTGCAGGTAGTCGATGGAGCTGCCTTATGGTTCAGAGGTGAACTCCAAATGGACCTCTCTGTGTTTAAGGGCAACAACCTATATATGAAGTTTTATTATAGAAGCTTCAATGGGTCAATGAGCTCAGTACATATCTGGTTTACAGACACATCACTACATTAGTTATAACTCTAGATCCAGATCCCAGCCTGGGTCCATCTGCCTTTTCCACTCAGTGTTCAAATACAACACACTTTCCTTGTTGTTGCCTTTTAACACGTTTAAATATCCGCCTTCTTTTACTCTCTGATTCCTGCGTGTGCATTTCTGTCCTTATATAAAGGTTTGTATTTAGCATCCCCTCTGGACCAGGCCTCTCTGGCAGACCCTGGATCTGTTTCAGTGAAGCAAAGGATGACTACAAGAGGATGAAATGCTTCCTGATACCCAGCAGAGGAACATGGAGGTATTGTCTACAGATAAGAGGACACCAACTTCTCTGAGAGCCAGTCGGAGGTCTCGATGAGACCACAGAGTCAGATGCTCTGTCAGCAGATCCCTCGTCTTCACTGTGGGGCTGAACGCTCGGGATCTCCTCCACACCTTCATCATCATCATCATCACCACGGGGGGATGTCTGCTCAAGCAGCTACGACACGGAAACAACACGTGAACATAGAGTGTGCAGTGGGTGCTATGAAGCGGTTCATAGAGGAGAGAGGAAGGCGTACCTTTCTCCTGCGTCTCTGTCTCTGAGCTCTGAGCGCTCGTTTCAGGGTCTCTCCTGGATCCTCCTCGCTGACCTGAGGCTCCTGCAACACACACACACACACACACACACACACACACACACACACACACACACACAGTGTTGAGACACACACACTCGAATACTACAGGCTATACAGACACACAACTACTACAGGCTACACACACACAACTACTACAGGCTACACACACACACGAATACTACAGGCTACACACACACAAATACTACACACACACATACTACAGGCTACACACACACACGACTACTACAGGCTACACACACACACAACTACTACAGGCTACACACACACGACTACTACAGGCTACACACACACACGACTACTACAGGCTACACACACACACGACTACTACAGGCTACACACACACACACACACACACACACACACACACTACAGGCTACACACACCTACCTTCATGGTGGTCTCCAGATTGTCCTCCCTCAGGTTGGAAGATGGAACCAGAGCCTATGGAGTATAATCAGGTTTACTGAAGCAGCTCCTCTGTTTCTGAAGAAGAGAGAAACTCCTCTCCTGCTCATGTTTAGACTTGTTAAGGAGCTAAAGAAGTATTCAGATCCTTTAATGCAGAAAGAATCCACTGATGGACCGATCCACGGCGTTACGTCACTGTCCCCAGGAAGAAAGAGAGAAATGTCCAGCGAGGCGTTGTGGGGCAGCAGAGACAGGTCTTCTCTCTACAGGGTGCACTTTGAGGGTTTGTGACTCTGCAGACCGTTCACATGCAGAAGCTACAGAACATAAGGGGACGGGGAATAAAAGCATGACACGGGACCTTTAACGGCCCGTCCACACGGCCGCGTGCGTTGAAGCTTCAACACTTCTGCCCATTCTCTTTGAATGGGGTGACGTCACGCTTTGCCGAACTGCATTGTGGTTCTGTCGCTTCGCTTTTTCGCGTTGCTCGCTTCAAAAGTTGAGCAAAGTTCAACTTTTGAAGCTCCGACGGAAGCATCAGCCAATCAAATCATATGCCAGTACAAGCTCTAGCCAATCAAACCGCGTGCTTGTGTGTCCGTGTGGACGCTGCGTAACAATAACAACAACCGTAATGCTTCAGCATTAAAACACCATAGACCAGTGGCACCGGAAGCAGGGGGGCCAAGGGGCCAGTGCCCCCCCTGCTTTAAAGCCCTGCCCCACATTTTCGCAGCGGCGGATGGCGCAGAACACTACATCCCGTTTCAATAATTCCCCTCTACTCTAAAGTCGCATCTAAAAAGAACGTGATCTGAGAAGGACTGTTCTTGCTAGTAACGGTTTAAGCAGAGTCCTTGTCATTCCACTGACCTGCACATTTAGTGATGTGTCGGTCGCGAAGGAGCCGGCTCAAAGAAGTTTGTGAGGCGTTTTGCTGAAAGATGGCATTCAGCTGTTATAGGCATGCCAACTTGATGCTCTGCTCACGATGACTCGATGAGCATAACAAACTGTTAAGATGATGACCTTACGTGTGAAAATATATTTTTTTCTTTGTGGGGGTCTGCCCCCAAAAAACTGTTTTAAGTCCTGAGAAAGTCAAATAAGACGGTGTGTAAAACTACACTGCCCAGCCAACAGAAAGTAACCACTTTGATTTAACTAGGCCAGTAGGTAAGGACCTTTAAGTTATCATTCAGCTAAATCAATCACATGCAGGAGAATGATGCTTTCTACTTGAGTATGATTTAAGAAACGTCTCAGCTCTCCAGAGGGTCTCAGTTATCCTGTTGGACCCCCCCCCCCCTTAAAGCAGAAGACTCAGATTGATTATAGAGAGGGGAAATATGAAGGGTCTGTTTAAAGCTATGGAGATGAAACTAGAGCTCGAACATGTTCTCAGCTCTAACTGACTGAATGTATTTGTAAAGTGGGCTTACCAACACATGGAAGCTACTGTGTGATATAGGCTCACATATATATTTAAGAAGTGCAAGAGAAGCAGGAGTCTTCCATTATACTTTAAGGACATGGACAACGGGCCGCATTTGGCCCACGGACCGTAGTTTGGACCCCCTGAGTAACAGCAGCACTCAATCACGACTGAACTTCACCTGAAGGTCGTCCTCGTGCTTGTGTTTCAAACTCTCCTGTAAAGCTCGTCTTTTCTTCCGCACTTTTTCTCGAATGTCACTAAAGCAGAGAAACAGAGCTAACGTTAGCTTAGATGCTAACCGTGAGATCTCAGACACGTGATGTGAACGTTGAAGACTTTAACTAAGGTTGTTAGTGTGAACAACAACAAGAAAGCAGGTAGTTTGGTTACCTTGATGAAGCCATGCTGGAGAAGAGGTTTGTTTTAACGGAAGAACCAGAGAGACGTTATGGCTGCCTAGTAACGGGACATAAACTACTCCTCAATCTACCTTGGAAATAAGCACAAGTCCCGCCCTACTGCGCTGTGATTCGCTAGTGCCCGATACTGCGTCTAACTTTGGATAGGCTGCCTTTAGCTCATGTGTGAAAGAAAGACAGTCAAAACAAGTATAGACAGACAGACAGACAAGAAGTTAGACAGACAGACAGACAGACAGACAGACAGAGAGAGAGAGAGAGAGAGAGAGAGAGAGAGAGAGAGAGAGAGAGAGAGAGAGAGAGGAGAGAGAGAGAGAGAGAGAGAGAGACAGAGAGAGAGAGAGAGAGATAGAGAGAGACAGAGACAGGCAGACAGGCAGACAGGCAGAGAGAGAGACAGACAGGGATTCAAGTTTCAAGGCTTTTATTGTCATGTGTACAGCTGAGCTACAGTGCAGATATATCAATGAAAATCTGAGGTCACAGGCTCCTCCTCCAACAGAGCAACACAATAACACAGATAAAATATTACAAGTAAATAAAATAATGTTTTCCCTTTCAGAAAAAGTCAGAAATTTGTAATTTGAGAAAATTAGTCAAAAACTAGAAAATGCATTTCCTGCAGAAAATGCGTGCGAATGCTGTAAACTGTGAACATTTGTGGCTGAATTTAACTGAAAATGCAGAAAAAGCTGAATATGTTATTAGCTGAATGGTAGCTGTTTTTAGCTACAAAAATGCAGAAAAAGCTTAATATTTAAAAAAACATGTATAGCCTTGATGTAATGAAATAGCTGAATAATGTAATAGTTGAATGGTTTCTGCAGCTGAAAATAGGCTGAAGGAGTTAAATATCAGATGTAAGTAGTAGTGAATGCATTTGTATTAAGATGAGAAAAGAAAGTAAAAAGGCTTGGGAAAGCAGCAGAATATTTGAACTACTTACTTAACTTGATGGTTAATTATCTGTCGCCATGGCAACGGCATTTGATGACACCCCATAATACGCTTAGATGTGTTGATGGCTGCATCGTTACCAAACCTGTGAAGTTTTGGGCCATTTCGAGCATTTTCACTGAAATTATGAGAAAACCATGTTTCATGGTGAGCATTGTGTTGCCATGGCAACGGCATTTGAAGAAATCTCAAAATTGTCCCGTAGATGTCTTCACGGCTGGACTGTTAGCACACATGTGAAGTTTGAGCACTTTTTGAACATTTTCATAGGAGTTATACATTACATTAGGAGGTTACATTACTCTCTCTCTTCTCTTGATCACCCTTTCAATCTTCTATCGCCCTCTCTCTTCTCTTGATCGCCCTCTCTCTCTTCTCTCTCTCTTCTCTTGCTCACCCTCTCTCTCTTCTCTTGATCGCCCTCTCTCTTCTCTTGATCGCCCTCTCTCTCCTCTTGATCGCCCTCTCTCTCTCTTCTCTTGATCGCCCTCTCTCTCTTCTCTTGATCGCCCTCTCTCCTCTTGATCGCCCTCTCTCTCTTCTCTTGATCGCCCTCTCTCTCTTCTATCACCCTCTCACTCTTCTATCACCCTCTCTCTCTTCTCTTGATCGCCCTCTCTCTCTTCTCTTGATCGCCCTCTCTCTCCTCTTGATCGCCCTCTCTCTCTTCTCTTGATCGCCCTCTCTCCTCTTGATCGCCCTCTCTCTCTTCTCTTGATCGCCCTCTCTCTCTTCTATCACCCTCTCACTCTTCTATCACCCTCTCTCTCTTCTCTTGATCGCCCTCTCTCTCTTCTCTTGATCGCCCTCTCTCTCTCCTCTTGATCGCCCTCTCTCTCTCCTCTTGATCGCCCTCTCTCTCTCCTCTTGATCGCCCACTCTCTCTCCTCTTGATCACTCTCTCCTCTTGATCGCCCTCTCTCTCTCTTCTCTTGATCGCCTTCTCTCTCTCCTCTTGATCGCCCTCTCTTCTCTTGATCACCCTATCACTCTTCTATCACCCTCTCTCACTTCTCTTGATGTGTCTGTGAGAGAGAGGGAGAGAGAGAGAATTGTTACAGCTCAAATGCATTGCAATGACTTCCATGTTAAAAAAAGACTTTAAAAAGCTGAAGGTTTTAAAAAGGATAACATATTTTGAAAAAGTTGAAAGTTTCCCCATCATGTGCTGAAAAGGCTGAATAGTTTGATATTTGAATGGTTCCTGCAGCTGAAATTAGGCTGAAGGAGTTAAATAAAGATATTAAATGTAAGTAGTAGTGAATGAATGTTTACAAACACCTGTGTGTGTAAACCCAGAGATGAAAGGTTACCGTGGTGACGACTTATGACGATTTACCAACGCAGCACTGAGTCCCATTAAGAATGCATTGAGGATTATATCTGACAATTTTGCCACCTGTTCAAAAACTATGGCTCCTATCAAAAAATGACCAGACCGTGAGCATCAGGGAACCCCAATGAACTGATATATGTTGTTTTTTTTGGTTTTGTGTGTAAAATGTGGAGATGGGAGCAGTTTGTCTAAAGTGTACTTCTCTCTGTTCTGAAGAAAGTTCCGGAAAGATTTAACATGGGAATCAATTGGGAGCTAGGTGGACTTTTTGTCTCTTCATGCCCTCAAGAGGCATTTTGTTTAATATTTTTTCTTCATATTTTTTTATTTTCCAACCTAGGAGAGGTTTTCCTACGTTTTTCATGAAAAAATATGTCTGAGGAGTGTAGGGTTTGGGAATTATGGCAAGTTTAAAACATTTTTTGAGGAGAATTTGAAGCACCCCTCCACTCTGTTTTGAGATCAAAGCACTCTAGACTTAACGAGCTGCTCCATCCACACTAATGTTAAAATCTGAAAAGGCCTCTCTACCAAGCTCCAAACTAAGTTAAATATCTCAAAAAGTGTAAAAGATATCAAAAATAAAAATCAATTCTGAATAGCTGAAGGTCTTGTGATAATTTGAAAGTTGGAATGAAGTGTCTAGCTGAAAGTATGTGGAAGGAGTAGCATTTGGCGCAAAGTGTAGGAAAAGAGGATTTGAAGGCATCTCCCATTGACTTCAATGTTAAAAAAAAGAGTTTAAAAAGCTGAATATTTCAAAAAGTATAAAATATTTTTAAAAAGTTGAAGGTTTCCTATCGATTCCTGAACAGGCTGAATAGTTTGATATTTGAATGGTTTCTGTAGCTGAAAGTAAGCTGAAGTTATGGAGAGCCAAAGTATGGTTGAAATAATAATTTTAAGGGGAAGAATAAAGATTCGAAGAACTATAGTGGAATGCTGTAAACAGCATTCGCACTAATTATGAGATTTCGAGAAATGTGAGAATTTTGAGTTTTTTTTTAAGTCAACATTCTCTGATTTGTAGAAAAACATGACATGGTTTTTAATGTTGAGAAAGTCAACATTATTAGATTTTAGGAAAAAAGTCCGATTTTGAATAAGAAGTCATAATTCAGTGTTTTGAGAAAACCAGCTATGACTGATACCATGTGCCAAATAATTAGTTTGATTTAATTCACATCTCATATCATACCAAGCCACACAATCATACAAAGCAACATGAGCTTTAGATAAGGAGTTTGAGACACAGGTTTATTCTTTAGTTTCATGAAGGGTAATGTAAAAAAGCATTGGAAAAGGGCTCTTCTCTAACAGGAGGCAAAAGGGCAGGCGCTCGACCCCTTTGAGGTCTCTGATGCCCGATGAGTGATGTTGAGTTTGATCTGTCTTCTCTCGCTGTGGAGCTGCTGGATATTTCCAGAAGATATCATTTATATCTGTCAACAGACAGGATCTGAATCCACTCTCTGCACAGCTATACTTCCTTTGAGAGATATCACATCTGAAAGGTTATATCTGATTACACTTCATACAGACTACATGCACATCAACCTAAACACCACCATTTCAACCCAGGCAGAGCTCCTTTTAGAAACCAATGGGAACATTTGATCGGACATTAATTAACCCGGGGTGATAAACACAAAGAAGTCCAAGAGATTCAAAATATCTCTTCTTCTTGTCCTTTTTCTGACTTTGTCCTCAAAGACTTTGAGAGCGCTTCAGAGACAGCTTTGATTACAGAACGTCTTCCCCCCAAACGCAGTATTATGGGATGCCTGCGGACACTTGTGGAGACGGACACGGGTCAGCAGGTAACCCCCCCGGACCTGAAAGAGAAACAGGGAAACCTCAATAAATAAAGTTCACACGGTACGACCTCTCACCTTTCAGTCTTCCTGTCACCTGAGAGGAGAAGGTGAGAGAGAGAGAATGATGATGATGATGAAACATGGAGAGAACCAGACAGAGTGATGAAGAGAGAAAGAAGAGTGTTGTTTCTGAGGTCATTCTCCATTCAAGAGTTTCATATCTTGATGAGTGGAGGACATGGTTTCAGTACTCACAGGTCTTCTGGATCGTGGATCTGATCGTCTCTCCATCGATCCTGTAGGGATGAACACAATCCAACAGTTTGAGATCCAGTTTAAAATAAGTGTTAGTTCTTTGAGTCAGCTTCAGAGTCCTGATCTCATGCTTTACATCCCATCATATCTTCTCTGCAAACACTACGAATGCCTGCCACAGCTCTCAGCTGCATTACAGGAAGTAACCAGTCATTAGAAACTCAAAACATCCCATCAAGAACAGACTACCTTTCCCACTCTTCTGTCAAACCCCATGTCTGGTGGAAAGTTGTAGGGCTGCCCCCAATCAGTCGACTGAACGTTAGTCGGCTAAAGAAGTCAGCTGGAAACCCTCAGCCTTCATTCAGAGCGGAGCCTGGTCATTAAGATCATTCTGTCGGGCAGGAAATCTAAAGAGTGGATCTTTCTGAGCGTAAAGGACGAGTCCCACAAGGTGACATGCAGACTCCACAGAGAAGAAGTCTCCTCCGTATGATTATCCCACAACGTGTGTTCCTCTCTCAGACTGGGAGGAAAGCAGAGAGTCAGGCAGCAGCCTAGCTCTGTATCAACATATAGAGACCTATAATATAAAATCATTCTGACCTCAGAACACCATAAAGCTCTCATTTCATGATGAGGGCGTCATGTCCGGAGGGATTTCAGCCCACGCTCATATTCTCACTGTTTCCGTTTCCTGTGTAGTTTTTATTGGGTTGTTATATTCAGATATGAATTATAGAAACTAAACTAAATGTTCAGTGTGTGTCCTCGCTGCTTGTTCACACACATTAAGAATCCTTAGCGGAGCTTCTGCTGTTCACACCGCTGCGTCCGTGCGCTGTGACTCTCATGCGCTCTCTACTGTAAGATCTCATTTATACTTCAAAGGTTCATTATTACAGTCTTATTATATATTCTGTGAAGCAACACTGTTATAATAATGTTCTTTATCAGCCTTGGAAACTGAAACCATTTTGGGAGAAAAAAACTAATATATGAATAATCATAATATATCATAAACGTGAGTCGACTAATCGCCTGAATTGACGACTATCAGTCGACTAGAAGAATCTGTAGTGGAGGGCAGCCCTTGAGAGTAGATTACTGACTAAATGTGGCTTTGCATTTCCAGCTGTTCTTCTATAGTTGATGGAATAATGAAAGAGCCTGCAGTCAGTGGGTAACATCACTGATCTGTTTCCCCAGTGAGAGAAACACCCCCCTTTCATACAATACTGCTGAACCAGCAGAGACCCCTTACTGACCTGAGAGTCTCCAGTCTGCATTCTGGACTCTCCACAAGATCTCTCAGCAGCTCCACTCCTGAATCATGCAGAGCGTTCCCATTCAGGTCCAGATCTCTCAGATGGGAGGGGTTGGACTTCAGAGCTGAGATCAGAACAGACCAGCTGATCCCTGACAACCTGCAGCTATTCAGACTGAATAAAGAAAACATGATGAGGGTAAAGATGAATTTATAATCAGATGTTTCTCAACATGTTTGTATAAATGTAAATATGTAAGTAGCAATAACTTGCAGAAATGATTTAAAGGATAATCATTGATCAGCAGTGAGTAAGGGTAATCAATAAGCACCTGCTTCCTCCTGCTCCCTTTGGACACATATCATGTATTATTATGAATATTTGTGTTGAATATATAAATATCATTATGAATATTGATAAATACTTTATTCTAACAATACGGTATTCTGTTTTTCACATTTGTTATTTTTTAATCTGTTTGAAATAAAGATGTAAATGAAAATAAATGAAACATTGAAATGAAAGAACAATAAAATGTGTCTCCTTCAGAAAGTAAACTTCATCATGTCAAACTAATATCACTTCAGATGACCTTTATTCAGACGTTATCGTTTACTAAATATAAAAAACATATATTTACTTTTTACAAATAACAGCAGATATCTGTAACAGTTCCTTTAAGAACTTTATTTAGTACGTAAACATATAAATTAGGGTTGTGCAATTAATCGTATTTTAATCTCGATTACGATTTTGGCTTGCAACGATTATGAAAACAACGTAATCGAAATAAAACGATTATTTAGCTGCGTTCCCTTTCTCAACGATGCTCTCAATGTGTCTTGCGTCACACACCCTGCCCCCCCCCCCCCCCTCAAAGCCCTCTCAGCAGGTCGTGCTGTGACTTGCAGTCTGTTTCATAAATCCATAGAAACACGTCACAAGGGAAGCTTTAGTTTCTTTATTCTCCGTCTCGAGCGTCAACTTCCACTAACTCGTCCAGCCGGAGCCTCTCAGCTACTTCCTGTTTCCAGATGAGGGGTTACCAAAATAAGAGCGCTGCGTGGAGCAGTATAATTAAACATTACAGGTTGAGAGTGACATCAGTTATCATATTTATATATGTTTAGTAGGTTGTGGAAGTGCGCTCCAAAATATTTGTTGATCTTCTTTATTGGTATTTATTATTTTGATATTATTTATTTAAATGTAGATATAAATGTACAATTTATTTTGTATTGGTTTTTCAGTTGAATTAAACTTAAAGTTCAGGGTAATCAACTGTTAAAAACATACTGTTCAGATTATTATTATTATTAAAGTTCAATAAATGGATGTTTTCAAAGTCAATGAATAATCGTATTTAATAATCCCGATATCAATTTTGACCAAAATAATCGTGATTATGATTTTTGCCATAATCGAGCAGCCCTAATTAAAATATGAATAAAACAACAATTACAAAAGTATGGATGTAATATATTAATGTAGAAGAATCAGGTTGAATAACTAATGAAATATGAGATCTCCAGCAGTAACAGAGAGTCAGTGAACTGACCTGAGAGTCTCCAGTCTGCAGTCTGGACTCTCCAGAAGATCTCTCAGCAGCTCCACTCCTGAATCCTGCAGAGCGTTGTTACCACTCAGGTCCAGATCTTTCAGATGGAGGTTGGACTTCAGAGCTGAGATCAGAGCAGAACAGCTGATCTCTGACAACATGCAGCTACTCAGTCTGAATAAAGAAAACATGATGAGGGTAAAGATGAGTTTATAATCAGATGTTTCTCAACATGTTTGTATAAATGTAAATATGTAAGTAGCAATAACTTGCAGAAATGATTTAAAGGATAATCATTGATCAGCAGTAAGTAAGGGTAATCAATAAGCATCTGCTTCCTCCTGCTCCCTTTGGACACATATCATTTATTATTATGAATATTTGTGTTGAATATATAAATATCATTATGAATATTGATAAATACTTTATTCTAACAATACGGTATTCTGTTTTTCACATTAGTTATTTTTTATTTGTTATTTTTTAATCTGTTTGAAATAAAGATGGAAATGAAAAGAAATGAAACATTGAAATGAATTAACAATAAAATGTGTCTCCTTCAGAAAGTAAACTTCATCATGTCAAACTAATATCACTTCAGATGACCTTTATTCAGACGTTATCGTTTACTAAATATTAAAAACATATATTTACTTTTTATAAATAACATCTATTACAGTTCCTTTAACCTGTTCCACTCTGAGCCTGTTTTTCAGGTCTCAGGCTCGAAAATGACATTCCCAGAACAAATGACCATATGTTCCCTTCTAAAAGGGTTAAATTAATAATCTTTTCTCAAAGTAATGATAAACCTGTGAGTTGGATGTAGAAGTGTCAGAATCAATATAAATGTTTTTTATTTTAAAGAAAATTCAGATTTTACATAGTAAAAAACTGTAAATTATAGTGTCCGTCCAAAAATTATTTTTTACAGATAGTGAAAACTACCCTTGGATGATGGGTTAGTAGACTAAAAGCTTTAGGAATCCAAAGTACAACATATAATAAGTACCCTGTATCAAGATTGATGCAAAACAAGTGAAATTTGACCTTTTTAGAGAGATTTAGCCAAAAACTGGGCCATCTGGGGTCATTTGGGTGGATTTGACCTATCTCTGGCCCCCCTTGCTCGATCTGGTTGGTTGACATACCCTTGTGACCGTTAGAGCCAATAGAATCGAAGGAGGATACTCACATAGACACACATTGTAAAGAAAAAATGTTGCCGCTTCGCGTGTGGAAAGCGAAACTAAACTGGAGGAATGTCTCCTTCTGGAGTTTGGAAACTAAAACGCAGTTGTATTGCTTATGGATTATCAGAAATAATTTCAAAGAGGACACAGACACATAGGATGAACCTATGGATTAACTGCAGCATCGTTTTTTTATCGTTTTAATGCCATTGAAGACCACTTTTGACCAAGGTGAGCCATATTTACATGTTTAGCTTCTTGGCTCCACATGTGATGATGTACGCTTTCGTTGATAGCGTCGCGAATGTTTATCACTGAGTGTTGAGGTGGGCACCGTTAGATTCAGTGTCTCCAGGACACCAAAAAATAGTGTTTGGTTGTGCATCTAGGATAAGTAATAAGGGAGTTCTGAGTGAGTTTAAGTGCCTTTGTCGGTCCCGTTTTTTCGATCGAGGCTAATTCAGAGGCTGAGTGCTAGCATTGTGGGTTTTTTTTGAAAAAAAAAATTAAAAAGATCAGTTAGCTGAGTTTCTTCCCGTTACATGGATATAACACATTCATAGTTTTATTCAATATTAAGATTCCTTAGACGTTGTTTCCTGCAAATGACGCGTTTATCCGCCCGGTACCGGGGGGAAGGCGTGAAACAGGTTAAGAAACAGTCAATATTTATGTCTGCAGTTCTTCATTTAGTACGTACAGATGAAAATATGAATAAAAGCACATTCACTACTTTATGAATGTAAGTTATTAATGTACATAAATTAGGTTAAATTACAAACTGAACAAACACTGGGTGCACAATTATAAGGCAAGTGAGTATTTCGACTATATCGTACATTTTATGCATATTTCCAAACTCCAAGCTTTATACACTTGAATGCGTATTGCTTTAAGCATATCATGTTATGTGTAATGACGGAGGGTATCAAGGTGTGCATCATTAATAGGCAGCTTCTTTTCCTCAGGTAAAATGAGCCAAAAGAGATTTAACCGACTCTGAAAAGTCAAACATTGTAAAA